CGAAAGCTATCCAGCTGCCCCAACTTGTCTAAATAAGCAGTGGCACGCAGGACAATATGCCTTTGCAAGCAGAGCTCAACCCCTGTGAAACAAAACTGAACTGAAGTATCTAAGCTACATAAAGATTCACATTGAAACGGTTTGCTCTTATTCTTGTATAGTATATATTGTTTCATTCTGCAACCGCTGGACGGCCACCCATCCCAGCGGAGCACTTCAAGCACTTTGCCCAGTCAACTGTGTCGTGACATACGCACTTTGCCATGTAACAGCCGTCGTTGGAGGATACCACCAGCTTCAACTCCGTGATGACAGCACAGGAGTCCTGGGCACTGGATGGATTGATTTGTATGAAGTTTTAACTTTAGAGCTAGCCCACCCTTGTCTTGTTTTTGTGGAACCCTTCTATCAATCTTTCAGGTTACGGCAGTGGCTTTTAGATGCTGTTAGATCTTTTAGGTCTTTTGTTTCGATCTTTGGTCGTGCAGCCATATTTGTATTTGTAGGGCGTCACTCACTTTGTTGAGCAGGCTTCCACAGGAATCAACAGCGCTGCCTGGTCTGCCAGGAGAAAAGTGGCCTTTGGCCTCGTGCCATGCAGCTCTTGGGTCACTTGGGCGTTCTACAGATCAGTGTTCTCCGATGGGTTTTGTGCCCATCATTCTACTGAGATTGGGATTGAACACGTCCAAAACTAACTATGCAAAGTCAGTAGGATTGGAACTTCTCCAAGGTGACTTTGAGCACAGTGGTTTGCAACCTGATATTGTCTCATTGCAACTTGGATGACAAAGGAGCCTGCTGAGTGAATACTGGGATTGAAAGCTTGAAGCTTCACATTGACATCGGCTGACAACCATAGTGTATATGGACCCTCGTTTGTCCAAGACATCTTCGGGTGCCAGTGCCATCGAACCTCTGAAGCCACTGAACAAAGGGTTGATTGAGAAGACGCATCATGTAGGAGGGCCCCTGATCAATGAAGCACATGAGCCCTCACGACCAGCACCAGGTGAATGCAAAACATTTAGGACCAGGGGGTTGGAGAAAAAAGACGAGTCCGACAAAACCCTGTTTTGATCAGATTGATTCAGATTGCCTGTTGGATCCTTCAGTGAAAATGGGCATGATTCAACGCATGCAGCTTGGAAGACATCTTTCAGTAAAAGTAGAAGGGAGACTCAACCATTGATACCAAGAAGGTTGGTGTCAGGCGGTATGATCGATTTGCAAAACTACACCATAGCACTGATGTGTTCGATTATGTTCGACAGAAGACACTGATGCCACTATCATGGCGATCGAAGAATTGACTTTTCAGATGCCCTGCCAAGCACCATATGTGTGCCCTTCGCAGTGGTAGTAACCATCACAGGAATGCGTTGCTGGCAGCGGATGACATGGACTGGCGTTGGGCACTCTTCTGGCTAGACACTGCCCAGCGGTGGTCGTTGCAAACCGATGCATCTCAGCTAGTGTTGTTTGCTTTCCATGCAGGGGCGAAGGGGCCTTAAAGAATGAATGACACAAGTTCTCATTCACCTATGTATTACTGTAGTATGATTGCAAGGAGTTAGCTGACAAGTCTGTGGTGTCCTGGTTGTTTCACTCCACTCAGTACCACTTGGTTGCCATATGACATATGATAATGAGTTTTGGTTGCCACAGCGGCACGGCGGTTTCATTAGTCCAAGACCTTGAAGCCATCAACACAGAGACGCTTTTTTGTCCCCAAGCTGAACCATGTAAAATCAAACTGAGCCTCAAATTCTTTGGTCTGGTCAATGTTTTGATCCAACCTCTAAGTATAGCATGGTATAATGATATATATATATATATATCATACATCAATCACTGAGCGGTTGCCCTTTAAACACTTGGACTCCGGTCGCGCAAGAGGTCTTGGAGAGGTTTTTGTGGAGACAGCTGGAAGATCTGGGTTTGGGTCCTGGTAGGGTCCTATCAGGTCACGTAACCTTTGTTGGAAGGCCGTGTCGAGGTTGTTTTGTCCACCACTTTTCGGTCGTGTCGATGCACCGCAAAGGCCGTGAGTTTCTCATCAGCCATCAGCACGATGGAGAAAGCGGGTCGTTGGCTCGTGGCATTGCAACTGCTTCACCGATCAGCGCAGAGGACAGTAGGTCATGCTGAAGTTTCTGCTGAAGTTTCTGAAAGAGAGACATGCTGATTGTGCGGGGGAATTGCAGTTGTTTTTTATACAGCTAAATTGAGGTGTTGCGTGGTCGGTGACGTTTGAGGTACTTGTAGTTACAATTCAGGCTTTTGATGATTGGGTGCAGTATGGGTCCTTCTATGTCAAGAGGGGCTGTTTTTGCACCGATCCTTGGATGTTCAGTTATCCTGATTTGTAATGCTGATCAGATGTCCACAGTGATAGCAGGAGTGGCCAGGGACTTGTTTAAATCATGTTTGAAAGGCTGCTCCAGGACTCCGGACTCCAGGACAAAAACAATTGTGGGCTCTTTGATGACACACAAGCGAGTGAACATTTTGTCACTCTTATGTACAGTAACTTGTGCACTTTGCAACCAATATTTATGAAGATGCTGAGTTTTGTTCCTATCATTGGACAGTTCCTGGAATTTGGGTGGCATGCGGCAATGCAGGAGGATTCAGCAGGACATCATCATGTTCAATGCAACGATCTCTGCATGTGAGAAGGGGCAGCAGTGGGAAAGGGCCTTGGCAGTGCTGGAAGACGCTCGGCCAGCAATTACAAGTTTATTATTTATAAGTATATATATATATTATTTATAAGTATAAGTATATTACAAGTTTATTATATATTATTTATAAGTATATATATATATATATATTATATTATGTAATCACAATGTTCTTTCTTTGGTCAGGTCCTGGTCCCAGAGTCGAGCCAGAAGATCCGGAACAATCAGAAAACTTGAAAGCATGCTTGGACAGTGGAGACATCCCCTACAATCAGATGTTCAGTCTAATTCGGTCACTCCAATGAAGGGCTTTCCTCGTTCCCATGCCTTTGAGTTGGATTCAGCTGGCGGATTGTGATCAACTCCGAAAGCAACACCTTCTACTCTCAGCAAAGAGCAATGGAAACTTCCTGCCCCCAAATCTGGTAGGCCGGGTGCTCTCCCCCAATTCCTTCCGCATGCCGCCACTGGAAGAAGACGACTGCACGTTCCTTCACACCCTCCAGAACTGGGAGTTTGGGGCTGGTACACCTCAGATCTCGCCTCCAAGAGATACCAAGAGCACCTTTGGCGCCAGGCCCTCACATCACCAGGTCAGGATCACCGAATGTCCGGTCTCGCAGGGTCTCCCAGGTCGATGTTCAGCTTTTTTTTGAACCCCAACTGAGTTACAAGCCAGCCACTGCTTGAGAGCCAGCCCGGCGCCACTGAGTCCCCCCAACTGAGTCCCCCAACTAGGGGTTTGTCAAGCCAGCCCGGCGCCACACTTTGGGCACTTCTTCGAGCAGCCACATCCGGTTGAAACATGCGACTGGACATCACATGAAGCAGCTATTTCACACTGCCAAGGATTTTTTCCTTAATGTCCTTTCCAAGGAAGCATGCGGCCTTGAGCTTTTGCCCGACGTCTTTTCCTATGGCCACTGGTATGAAGATTTAGTGGGAAAGTGTTTTTGGGCGATTCCAGGACCAAGTGAGAGTCAGAGGTACCAGTGAAAGCCAGTACAAGGCATGAACTCCGCTCCCTCTGGGCGCTTTCTTTGAGGTGCAGCGGCCAGCGCCTGCGAGGGCGGTGGCCATTGGGTCGGTGCCGCTGAGCTCTTGGAGGTCCTCCAAGACAGCCAGCAGCAACCAGATACAGTGCCTGGCCAGCCTTTGTGCGGGTTTTTGCATTGACAGCATGGATTGGGAGGGCCATGTCCGACAGTGGGGAGTTGGGTTCGGCAGAATTCCTGGACTGCTTTCTTTGGCCCAAACATATCAAGAAAACATAATCTGCACTTGCCTGAACTCATCAAGTTCTCTGTGTGTGTGGGTGAATGAAGTCGTGTTGTTGAGCTTCAATGCCCCGCCAACCAACGGCCACATTTGAGAGAGGCGAATAGTTCAAAACTCGTTCTCATCAAAGGAGATATCCACGTTGGATATACGGGAACTTTCGCCGAGGTCTTGTGCAATGCGGTGATTAGCGCCTTGCAGAAGCTTGCTTTGAAGGATGAGGGATGTTTCCGCCATTGTTCCGCCCAAGTACCCAGAACTGTTTACCAAATCACCTGAGGGACAGCGGAGGGACAGCTGGCTTTTGGCTAAACGAAAGGGTGTTTCTCTCTCAGTGGGACTATGCTTGTTTGGGATGAGCTGACCTTCCACCTCCTTCCAGACCATCAGATTCCAGACATGTCAGTCACGACCTTAAACATGTCTCAGATTCGCATGAGGAAGGGCACCTGCTGGCAAAGATCTCTTGGACTCTTGGAGGCCATGCAGACCAGCGGGCCACAGCCCGATGTGGTGCCTTCAGCTGCAGGAAACAGTTTAATGGTCCAATCAAGGCATCACGTAACAAATCCATATCAACCCACCTGATTTGATGGTGCCACAACTCTTGTCCTTGTGGGACAGATAGCCTTAGCTTGTCTTACATATGAAGAAAAACATGCCAGATGTGCTTTCCATACGTGGAAATGACTGACGCGTCATAGACCAGGTAGGATGGGCATGATACAAGAACCACAGTTCCATCACCATTCAACGATATTCTGTCCACCCATGACATTTGGACCAGATTCCGACATGCATCAACATTCATCAAGGAGGGGCGGCCGAGACAACTCACTCACTTCAAGCATCCCAATATTTCATAATATATATATAAGAAGAAGCACACTATGAATTCACCGGCTGCAAAGAAACAAGCTAATATACATAAAAGAAACAAATAAAAAGCAATGGAACTGCCCCAGTTTGGGGCCGGCTATGGAAGGGTCGAATTTGCGACATCCACAACTCGCTCAGGTGTCCTATACGGCGGCCATGTCGGCGTGCGAGAAGGCCAGCGAGTGGCAGAGGACCCTGGTGCTGTTGCAAGCCTTGAAGGCCACGAAGGCCGGGCCTGGGGATCCAGATGAACACTGCAGAGTGAGCATCGACATGTAGGAATGCCATGTCTTCTTTGATCTTCTTTGTGTTGCTGTATAGTAAGTTGCCGTTGCCGGGTTTCTGACTCCATTTGGACGTGTCTCGACAGGCACAAGCAGGGATGGCCTTCAATGTGTGCATCAGCGCTTGTGAGCGGAGCAACCAGCTGCAGCAGGCCTTGAGGCGAGGACGAAAATACAACGGCCTGGTGGACAGGGGAACTTGTCAACGACGGGATTACTGCTGTACTGCTCTTGAATTTTATCAATGCAGTAAACAATTCAGTGCAGATTTGTAGTAGGTCGGTACCAGCTAGGAATCAGACTCAGACGATGCTATAGCTGCTATAAAGTTCAAAGGATGACCAGGTCCAAAAGTCCCCTGAAGAGGCTGAGCCTGGCTCATTGTGTCCTTCAGGTGGCTTGGGACATTGTGGGACTCCTTTTTCTGATTTTGAACATGTATCTGCATGATACTGCTAAAATGTATTGGACACCATTTGATGTTTATGTTGATCCATTTCAAAGGGAAGTGAAGCCCAGAGCGTGGCCGAACTGTGAGGCTCTTGAGGGAGATGCGGAAGTCGCAGCTGGAACCCGATGGCATCAGACACTTGGCTCTGTTTAGAGGCATCCTGATCAAAAATGATCCCGGGCTAGAACCTTCATGAAGCTACACTTCACCATGTGGCAGCTCCAGTCGATCCAAACTGAGAGACAGGCGTGAACTCTGCCCTGCGCGCCTGTGAGCGTGCTTCGGCCTGGGTGGAAGCCCTCCACTTGGCCTCTTTGTCCGAGCTGGACGTGGCCGGGCTGGTGGCAGTGACGGGAGCCACATGGCGAAGGAACGGAGGGACTGGGGGCGTTCGGTTTGGAAGCCCGGAGGGGTTTGGGTTCCAGGACTCCGAGTTGCTTTGGGGGAAAGTTGGGAGCCAGTGACTATAGTGGTTTGGGGATGACTTGCGGATCGGACCATCCCATTCGGACCTTGGACGGATCTCTTTCTTCCGCCGGTCAAGGCATGTGCCTCGGTCCATGCCATGCTGCCGCGCTTGCTGTGGAAGGTGGACGTTTGGGGCATGCGCTCCGCCTCAGAGGCCGGAGCTGGTGGCCTCAAAGAGATTAGACCCATGCTTTTGTGGGTCTTTGAAGCAATTGGCTCACCGCATGTCTCATACCTAATTGTATATTATATGTGCACTTAAGTAAGGAGACTCTTTATAGTGTAGAGTCGCATACCAAGGCCTGTTCAATCCTTTTCACCTGAAAGTCAGTGTTGGTTCCAAGGATTTCCAAAGGTTGTTTTGCAGAGCTCTTCTGAGACAGGCAGCCAGGCTGATCCGGGTTCCGGTTCCACAGTCACCTGGTCCATCATGAAATCATGCAGGGGAAACAAACAAGGGCACTGCTCTACTACAGACAGGGGTCACTCAGGTTCTAGGTCCAATCATTCAATGCATGTGATCTTGCAGGTTCTCAGGTGGAGATGACCTAGAAGTGCCATCAATTCAACCCTTTCGGACCAAGAAAGGGATAGCAATAGCAACATGACATAATTCTCGGTCGAACAAGAATAACTCGGGCCATGCGGGGCTTCTTTCGCCACAGCATTCCACGATTGCCCATGGTCTTTCGCTCTGGATCAGCTCATGTCCAGGCCAACCAGCTTGCCAGGTTGGAGTCTGCGGGAGACATCCAGCGCAAAATGAGAAAGGACCACACGCAGTGTGCACCGCGCCTAACCAGGGTGATGAGTTTGGATGGTGTTTGGGCGCCAGTGGTGCCACTTCTGGTCACATACAACCAGAGTCGCCCCCAAGGTTCTGAAGGGAACCCTGGTCCGAGCGAAGATTGCTGTGTCCAAATCCGAAAGGACATCAATCCCTTAGGTGATCCTACTGATGTCTTATGTGTTGTGTGGATGGCCGGGTGCCGCAGGTGCCAGATTACAAGTGCTAGATAGCATGTCGCTTGGGATCGAATCTTAGACTCATTAGACTCTTTTGGGACATACTCGGCTACTAGCGCTGTTTGAGTGAGACTGATCCATGGGTGAACAGATATATTTTACAGTAATATTTTTGAGCTGAGCTAGCCCCGGACCGGCGTGGAAGTGGGGATCTAACATCCGCTGTGTTTAGCCGCTCGGCGCATATCGCTTGATGCAGGCGACCTCCTTTTGCTTTTCACGGATGGGCTCACCGACAACCTTCATTGGTATGAGGCGGTTCCCGGGTCGGAGAATGGGGCGGTTCCGTGAAGTTCAGCCAGTGCACGGCGAAGCTCCTGATTCACGGTGTGCCGCACGTGTGGTGAGTTCAGCCAGCGCCCAGGAAGTGGACACGACGCCCAGGAAGTGGACATGGCTGAAGTCAACGGACGGTAACCTGGTTTTCATCCACTGGTGAAGAACCAAGACCGAAAAGGAAAGCCACACATATGACTGGCAGGACTTGATTCCGATCACCTCCTTTTGAAGCCCCAGGCACGAAAGGATCTAGACCATCTAGACCTTCCGTTGCACTACGCTTGTCAGAAGTACTACGACAACATATGTGGACACACACACTGTAGGATTTGTAGGTCGCGGTTGGGCTCGCTGGACGTACCTGGATGCCTGGCACCCGTACCCAGCTAGGACCGGGTCCCTCCAAGCATCTCCAAACCCTGAGCTCAAGCGCGTTTCTTGGTTTTGGCTTCCCAGATGGGCAGGTGTTGCGCAAAGTGGATGAGGTGGTTGAGCGCTACGAAGGGCAAGGTGAGGATGCTCGAAAGATCTCAAAAGTGTATAAAAGTGTGTGGCAAAGGCCCAACAAATCACTTCCACCGCCTGATTAGCTGCGCAACACGACCGAAGCCTCTCCTGGCATCGGCTGAACTCCTTATCCAACGACTCCCAACGTTTCATCCACCTCATCCGAGCATCCCCCCTTCCGCTGTGCTCAGGTGTCAATCCGGAGGTGCTGGCCTCTGTCCTTGCCAAAACAGCCGAGGAACGATCCCACGACACAAAGGCCGACCCTCGGGCGACGAAACGAAGACCCGACGAGAGGCCCCAAAAAGGAAGGAAACAGACGGTCCTCATCAAACATAACCAACTATAGCCCTCAATCTATATATCATAATCCTTAGAGAATCAGTTGGATTACCAACTTTTCGGATTGCACACTTGCAGACTTGCAGATTCTATCATGAAAACAAATGTCCCAAACCTGTGCGACCAGTGCGGTGGCCAGTTACGTGAAGAATCGAAAGAAGCCAAAAGTGGGCACCATCCAGTCATGCTTCGGGTGATTTTTCTTGGCTAGAAAATAAGAAGCAACCTCACCATTTGCTAAGGCGCGAGAAACGTGCACCCACCCCTCAAACCTTGAAGGCACGACTTTTGAAAACATTGGACATCATTTCTTTCGACAGTGTTGAGAAAAGCACGTGGATCAAACAGCCAATGTGCGACATGTGTCAACATGTTTCCCTTGAAATGTCTCATGGAGAATCGGTCGTGCCCATGTACCTTCTCAAGGCCAACACGCCTTTCGCGCAGTCGGCGCGTCGACATCGGCTTCTGGGCCTGGATTGTGACATGTGTGGACCATTGGATCTCAGAAAATGGGTGGACACACGGTGGAGACTACTGTGGAGACTTTGAGAGAATTTAGGAAGATGAGGCTTGGGCAAGTTGGTTTACCTCCAAATGATGGGTCGACTTCTCAAATCAGTTATGGGAAACCAGACATGCCATGGACGCACAGAAGCAGAAACCTGGAGTGCAGTGCAAGACTAGCGCCTTTTCGGACGTGCAAGTATTCCTTTTGCTGCAAGCAGTGAACGACTCCGCTTGACATCCCAAACCCATCTCTAGAAATACTCCGTCCACAGCCGCAGCCAATACTAATGAACATGGTGGAGTGGAGGGCTTAGAACCACCATGGATATAGACCAGGTTTGTCAGTATATGTCTAAGACATTTGCAAGACATCAGATAGGCCTGCCCCAACGCGACAAATGAGGCTGCATTTTCCAGGCGGCAAGGAAGATGACATCACTGTGGTAGCGGCACCTTGGTTGCGTGAGAAGATCCTCAAACTGTCGTTCACTATATACTTATTGCACGAGCTGGGGGCGTTTGGGAAGTTGCCAATTCCCATTTCTGGGGGATGGTCCGGTATGTTTTTTCCCTACTCTTAGGACGGCACTTGATTTGAGGAGTGGTTCAGTGATGATTGTCAATGTTCTTATATATTGACGTGTTTTTTGTCCTTCTACTGTACCTCAAGGGAGAAAGACCCTCATGTGACGTCGTAGTCGTAGAACGAACGCAATCCAAACAGACCAAAAAGCCCCATCGCGCTCGACCAGTCTGACTGTCAAAAACCGGATGTTTGGACACGGAGGCAGGTCGAAGGACCAAATGTGGGAAGCAACCAAAAGACCATCGAAGATGTATTTTTTCACTGTGTCCCGCAGCGCCGTAGGCCACTTTGTGATTTTGGAAGACTCCAGACCAAGGCCTGGATAGCTGGTGAAGAAGCCCATGAAGGCACGAGCAGCGCATAAATTTTGGGAATGAGCCAAACGAACACGTAGGGAATCTCAATCGGTGATCAGAAGTTTGTGCCACAAGGAAGGTGGGCAGGGTGGAATGGAAAGGGTTGGTGATTCCTACGAATACACACATGATCCCCACTGACCTACTGAGCCCGAAGGAACTCTATTTATCTGTATTTATGTTATGCCGTTATGCTTTCCCTTCAGGCGGCTCTTAAGCCAAACTGAAGGACTGTCCACAGCCAATATGACAACTGTGTTGTTCTTCAGGAAGAAGATGCTGCAGGAACAAAAGGAATCAGTGTGATTGTTTGAACTGGTTACATGCCGTTGTTATTGTTGTCGTTGTTGCTGCTTGCATTGGCCCGACAGACAGTGTCTCATCCCTGCCGACAGGGCAAACAGATGGCGAAGATGTGACAATCGGAACTCTTGAGCAAGCAAGTGCAAGGAAGACCTGCGTTCTTTGTTAGTCAGGGTCACTGACACAGCTGCTTGACACCCTGGGGGTGCAGATTTCACTCCCCAGCATCAACAGGAGACCTTCTTCACCAGTGGCCCCTTGACTGCTCTCCGGACATTACGGCACCACTCAGACAGCAGAACTATCCCAGCTCGCTGACCACATCATTCATCCACACTACACCACAGCTTTCGACATGTTTTGCCTCATTTGTATGACCTTCAACGTCCTTTTCTGGTGGTTGCTGGAACATAAACTGAAATGATTGACATGCCCCAGTTTGTGTAGAGTCGAGCGATTTTGCTTGACCCTGACACCCGCGCTTAAAGCGCCCACAGCTTTACGTGGAGCTCGCGAATCCACCGCGTGCATTTTCTTCGTAGCCCTCGTAGCTTTCTCCTCTGGGAGCCCCGGCCGCTACGGGCCCGTTTGACCGGCCCGGGGTCTGCGATGGGCGGAAGGTTTTTATCCCCCGGGAAGGTGTTCCATCCGAGAAGCCGAAGGAACATCCATGTGTGCATGAGAATGTGTGAGGCTTTGGGATAAGAAGGGCTTTTTTCAGACTTGCTTGTCCATTTGCACTCCAACAACCTGTTTGACTCAACTGATAGGGGAAAAAAACCATGGAAAGGCCCGCTGCAGGGAGCCGTGACCAGTTTGTTTGGGATAGTCCACTTCTCGAGACACTTGGATGGGACCGCCTCTGATGGACAGCGGGCGGAGTGCAGCTCGCCAGCTCCGCTCACGCTCCGCTCGGGTGACAGCTGTGAAGACGACCAGCTGGGATCGGTTGGGTTGGACCTTCAAACATAGAACAAACAGACCTACAGGTGGGCCCAAACAGCGGACAAACTTCTATTCTGCTCATTATATTGTCCGGTTTTGACGATTTTTGACCCATATAGCCACGACTGGAAGAGGTGTCTCTCTCTTTGGACAAACGCATTTTTTGGTTTCTCGCAACACCTGAACTTTTGGCATCCACCAGACATCGCAGCAATTCCTTTGTACACGGGCAGTCGCAGAAACATGGCCTGGCAACGTGGGGTTTTGGATGCGCAGGGCACGTCTATGATCAATGACCGTGTTCACCGGCATACATTGCTTTTTGATCCCTTTTGAGCTTTTGCGCGTAGATATGGTTGATAGAGCACTGCAAGGGCCGCACGAGCTGATCACCTTGGAGCATGGACTTGGCCAGCCATTCGCCGTCCAACAGTGCAGAGGAACCGGGACATCCTGCTGCACGCCAGCAGATGGACAACCGCAGGACGTGCTTCACACTTTTTAAAGATTGCCAAGGTCTTGGCCATTTGCACCTGGACATCGCGGCTGGGCACACGCTAGATGCTATACTAGAGCATCCACCCTATGAAGGTGCTCTCTCCCTTTTCAAGGAGATGGCTATTGGCTTGGAAGACATTTGGCTGGGAGTGCATTCACGAGAACCAAGACATTTACCGGCATAGAATGTTGACCGTTTGTTAAGAAAACCATAGAACACCCTCCATATGAAGATGTAAAACCATGCTGATAACGGGGGGGTGTTTAATCAACAGCCAATAGTATGGCCAGTTGGATTTGAAGCACATGAATGTATATACATATCATGTATAATGTGTCTAATGCAATGCAATGCATGCATGCACATATATATACATATGCATATATATATATACATGATGTGTGTATACATATATCATATATATATATTATGTTATTACATTTGTGTAATGTACTGGGCTAGGCTGTGCTACGAATGATATAGTATAAATATATATATATATAGTGTATATATGAGATGGATTGTATATATGTTCTGTACACCGATTGTTCCCCTTGCTGGGCCAGTTCCAACTACATCATGCTGGAATTCCCCTGAAGTGGCCAAGCCATGGGCCAGGTCACCACAGTTTCCACCAGGAGTTGTTTTTGATTGCTGCGAGATACGTGCACCAACAGAAGGGGCCAATTCCCGGCAACCACTGGTTCTTACCGAGGTTTTGCTCAGAGGCAAGTTTCACAGGTTCACACATTCTCTCATACAATGTCATTTGTTTCCTTCTATGCGTCTATGAGAACTCAACTTGTGACTAAACCACCTCGACTCCAATATTGCCCAGTGCGGCACAGTGGGTGCAAATGTGCCGACAGATCAACTCTTCACTTGGTCCAAGAGTTCCGGCCGCTTTTGGAGCGGCGATGGTAGCATCCATCCGGTTCTCCACTTGGGTCATGGACTTTGCGTGTAGGAAGTGGGTACAACCCATGGTGACTGTCCTTCCAAGTTTGCGAGACCCGTGGCGAGTACTGTGTAATGCGCGGGGCATCAAGGGCTTTCGACATGTCGTGAGATGTATGGGGAGCAGTTTCCGTGAGAAGATGTCCAACAAGCAGATGTTTGCATTGAACTTGAGAAGTGGCTGAACCATAAGAATGATGCATAATTTTCAGCATGAGTATCATGAGTCGAAATGATAGCATGTAGAAGACCAAGTGAGGCACTGTAACTTGTGTTTTGGAAATATTATCTTCAAAGCGCATGAACGATCCCCAATCCCCGCAAATGCCATCAAATACCATCACCAGGGTTGTGCACCGCTTATGAAATGCAGAGACGACCACCCAAGGGGGTCCTTTCGTTGCCAGTTACTTCCTGAGTACAGGAGATGGGATTGCCGCGTGATCAGTTGGATGACAGAAGCAATGACGGATATGAGCTGAGTCAAGGTCCATGTTTGATCGTTGTTCCGTCTCCTTTGTTCAGTAACATCCGGAATGCGGAAGGATCCAGAGTTGCATGCAACCCTTTCGTTCTGTGAGTGGT